GTAGAATGTAGGTGAATAATTGAGTGTCATCGTTTGGGTCAAAATTCGCAAACAAAAATAGAAATGATTTTGCTTAATATTTTAGCGCGACTATGCTAATTGTGTTATAAATCGGTTCATTAGTTTATTTATGAATTATCTCTTATTCAAAATAATTATTCAAATTGAATTATTATTTATTTATGAAAAATCCGATTTTTAAAGTTTGTTTTCTTGACGTTTTAAGTCATGCTGAATCGTCTGATATGACGAAAACATTTAAATTTTTTATAAATCAAACATCATACTCATAAAATATTTATATAGCTGACCCTTACTTGATATAGATTATACTTCTATTAATTTATTTTTATAATTTTTATTATTTGATTCATAACTGATAAATGAGATGTTTGTTGTACTTAATGTGAACAGTAGTTACTATTAAGGAAGCATTTTGAATAACATTCTTGTATTGAATAACAAAGTTAAAATCCTAGGCACGTCATGTGTATATATTATATTCAAATTTATTATGTGTGGAACTTATGTGAGCTTCTTGATACTTCTTATTACAAATATAAATATATGTTGGACCTATAATTTTAAATAATATTTTTAGCATATTTTTAATTTGAAAATTAAAAATAATATTTAAAAAATTCAATAAGCAATAAGTGTAAGTTGATACTTTATTGTTTGGCAAAGTGTTATTTACCACATTAGCTAAGGACAAATATAATAATTATAACGAAATATGTATGTAATAAATATAATGCTATACTACTTATTACAATTTATTTATGAATGATTTATGAAAATAAATCATTTACAAATTAAATGTATTACAAAATATAAATACAACATTAAATAAGCATTATTTTTTTTCAGATCATTGATCTGCGCCAATCACGTTACAAACGGAAAATGAATTGATTGCACCATATTATGTTCAAATTCTGAAGAAATTGTTAAAATTCTGAAGAAAAAGCATTAAACGCATAATACAAGGTAAGTTCTATAAGTAAATAAATTACTCAAAAATATAGGTAGTACAGTCTTTTTGTAGTCATATTTCTTACAAGGGGTCATATTTCTTACAAGACCTGAAATTATTCATTAATTTTAGCTGGAAATTAATTATAATACGGTGCTCAACTAGATTCATTGTTTACCCCAAATATAATACATAATTGGAATTTTACTTTTACCATTTTTTTGCTGTCCAAAATGTTAACTTTGACCCTTTGCACTCCAAGGTTAAGATGGTTAATATTTTTGTATGGTTTTCTTTTGGTTATACATTTGAATTATATTTATTACTAAAAGGTGTTGCAATGCTAAGTAGAAACAACTTACTCTTCAAAATTTTGATTTTTTTTTAAATTAATTCTTTTAAAATAAGCTATAAGCACTTTTCCTTCTATGTTATTAAAATGCATTTTCAAAGAATGTATCAGATGTTATTTAATGTAATCGTTGCACGTGTACTTTTGCTCAGAGTTCAGTCTCATAATAATTAAGAATTCAAACGAGTAATACAAGAAGAGAGGCTACTTTTAAATGACGATGTCGGCGCGACAGGAGTCTTTAAATATATATGCATATTGAAAATGCATTAACATGTAACTGATTATGAGTCTAATCTATGACTTTTACCATTAAACTTTATTACGTTGTTTGAATATTAAAAGCAATTTTCCTAGGAATCACTTAGAGCTGAAGCAAAACATTTTTCTAATAAGAGGTAAAAAGAAATTTGGCAATTACTTAAAAGGGTAAATATTCAGTATAAAACTGAACTGAAACTAACTAACAGTTGTGTAAAATCATCCAATTACTCATTGAAAATAATGTTTTTATTTACCTTCGCACGTTTTCATTAATTTTTATTTCCATAATTATCAATATCTATCATTCATTTTTTCATTTACTGCTTAAAACATAAGTGAAGTTATAGGGGCGTCCATTAATCACGTGATCGATTTTTTAAGGATTTTTGGACCCCTCCACCCCCTTGGTGATATTCAAAAATACCCCTCCTCCTCCACCAAACATGACGTGTATTTTTAGTTATGAGAAAAAATTGTAAAATTTTTGTTTTTTTTTAAATTCAGGTGAAAAATGTTATCTTACTATACCTCCCTCCTCCACGTGATATTTTGTGATTTTTTGACGAACCCCCCCTTTCTCTAAAAACTTCACGTGATTAACGCCCTTTAATGCAAAATCTTCAATTTTTGGATCTGGTCAAAAGAATCTGGTTTCAAATTCGTCATTATAAAATGGAAACTGATAATGGAATATTATATTTAAGTTGCAAATATTAATAAACAAGGACTGCTCCAAAAATTTAAATAATGCATTTCTCCTTTGCAACAAATATCAAGGGGTTGTTTCGAGGATTTAGTATGTTAGTGTTTTTGTTTATACTTAATACATGTTAATCAATGGAAACTTGTTAATTAATATTCAACTTCATTCATGTATTTTTTAAGTAACACAAAAAATTTTGATAGATAAAATCCTTTAGGAAAGCTTTTTACAACAATGATGTTTACCAAAATATAAAATAATGTAAATATAATTTTAAAGCAACTTCTTTTACATCAATGAGCTCTTTATTATATTGCAATAATAGCACATAATAAACGATCTATTTTTACAGATATTCCACAAAGTATAATGTAAAAAGTTGTTGGTATTTTAGTATTAACTTGTTTGAAGATAATCACTTACATAACATTAATTAGTTTGTATTGTTGATGAAGTCCGGCAATGACCCGCATTGCCCGATAAGGACACATATGAAATACATACTGTATATTTTTCTATCTGTGTTTCGTATTTATGCATCCATAATTAATAGAAACACAATTTGGTTTATTTATTTTGACAATGAATAATTAAAAATTTTGTCGAAAAAATGCGGATCTAGCTTTCTCAGAATTTATTTATCTTAAACAAATTTATTTGTTCAAATATTAACATCTGCCATAAGTTGGCTTCCAGCATCTTGTCAATGATAAATTGTCATCGATTTGAATTGATCAGCACAGCATATGTTTGTTTTGAAATATGAATACTTTTCTAATAATTATTGATATACAATGATTATATCTTCTGGTTTTGAATATTATTTAACATTAAAACAAATTATTCCAATCAATAAGACCCTGTCTAATTTCTTTCTACATGCCATTATCTAATATTTATATTAATTGATATATTTGTTTTAAATTTTTGAAATTCCATTATATGTCAATAAAATAAAATAATTTTGTCATTTGTCTATTGTTATTCAAATCGGTCTTCAGAGGATTTCAAAATATTTCAATAATAAACGCGCATATCTTTTCAACCTGTTCAATATTTGATTATTACACTTTTTTTCAGAAACTGTATGCGTAATCAATATTTTCTTTATCATAATGGGGGTACTATTATATTTCTTTAAATTGCTGATTAAGTGTATTTCAGACATAAATCGATCAACAATTTATATAACAATTAATATTCAACTTCAATTATTGTATAACGATATTTATACTCCACATAGAGTAATAGATTATGTAATAAATTACAAATCTGTGTAAATTTCGCATTCTAAATACCCACATTTCTGACGAACCAACGTGCTTTTGTTGAAATTTTAAGATTTCTTAATAGCAAAACAAACAATTATCAAGAATATTTTGGCAACATATTCATGTTCCAATTTCATATCAAATCAAATTTCTTCTCCTTTAGACAAATTTTGATTTTTAGGCTTTTATTTCAAATCACATAAATATTATAATTTTATTATAATACTGCGTCTATTTTACCATACTTTTACTAGTATATATTTTATAGTAATTTCACTTCGACTAATTGTAAGTGCATTTTATTAGAAATTGTTACTCTTTAGTAAGTTCTAAATTATGTTCTTGCAAATTGAATACAAGAACTTACAAAATATCTATATATCTCTGGAAAAAACATTTGATAATAAGTTATTACCATGTTTTGTTGATCAAAATATTGAATATAAATTATATATAATTATATATGCAAAGATTTTAGTTTTTGGAGCCATTCAATTATGGGAAGAAGTTCTGGAGGAAGTAAATTCTAAATATTTGACATTTATGCCATATATGCCTATTACGGTGGTCTTTAATATGGACATTTTTGAAGTTCCTTATTCCCAAATGCTCAAATGGTTCCAAATTGATAAAAACAATTCTCTGAAAGTTTTAGCTCTTAATATTGTCTTTTAGATAGAGCGCAATTCAATCAAAGTTTTGTATGGAAATGGCATGAAAAAATAATCAAAAATTTTGCAGAGCGTCAAATTTTCTATAAAAAGTGACACGAATTTTCACTTTTAATTTATTTGTCGCTAAGTTATACCTAAAAATTTTTTTTTTAATTCTCAAAAATTTTTTTATGCTATTTCTATACAAAACTTTGATTGAATTGCGCTCTATCTAAAAGACAATATTAAGAGCTAAAACGAGAATTAAAAATAGAATTGCTTTTTATCAATTTGGAATCATTTGAGCCCTGGGGAGCAAGAAAATTCGAAAATGTCCATATTAAGGACCACCCTAATATATATGCAACGATTTTGGTTTTTGGAGCCAATAGGAGGAAGTGTTTATTTTTCATAATTATTTATAAATTCCAAATATTTGGCATATGCAAAGAGCACTTGCTTATGGTACACGGTAACATTGTTTATTAACATTGTTTATGGGGTTCATTCTTATATTTAATATGTTAAATAGAACTGGTGTCGAAGTTGCATTTCATTTACTATCGACCATAATACTATTTAGCAATCTCTGCTCCTTGTTTAGTATAACCATATCGAAGAATTAAGTTGACTAAAAAATGACCATTGTCAACTATGGAATAGCTCAATCCTTGAAATAAAGTTTTACAATCGGGGCAGAACAGTACAATATTGCAAGTCTAAAAAGAACTCTGTAACTATTCGTCAAGCTCTATAATATATCTGAAACCACGTAACTTACCTGTCTTTTATGCGCGTCGGGCATGGTGAACGTGGACGTGACCCAGCAAAAGGTATTGACGACATGCACTGGTATGCCGTTGACTATGCACTGGATGGGGTTGCCGACGAATTGGGTCGCCGTGATGATCATACTGCATGTCAACAGAATTGCTGTGGTGAATAAATTGTGCAATCTGAAGACGGCATTGTCAGTCTTAATGTCTTGGACTTTGAAATAGTCCTTCAAACCACCCAAGAGCCGATACATCTTGGATGAATGAGTCTTTGTACTTTACAGATCGTAGGAGTTGAAGAGACTTAATAGATGCAGTACGTTGACTTTCTGAAAGAAAAAAATATTATCTGTAGAACTAGCTATGATTTCGAAAAAATAGAGGCAAAGAAATGAATATTAAAACACAATAAAAGCTGTAATTTTTTACAAATTTCAAGAAAACTATACGGAACGAAAAGCCCAAAGAGGACAAATATAAATATATACAATACTATAATATAGACAAAAGAGCCCTATATAATATATAAATTGAAACCATTAGTAATTTACATTTTGACAGAAGAAGCAAATGCAGAAAAAATAAATTGCATTGTCATACGTTTACGATCAGATTCTAAAGCTCTGGTGTTAGATTTTCATTGATATTGCAGCGATTTGCATGAAAACTGTAATACGTTTGGTCGATACCCAAAATGTTTTTTTTTATAAAATATAGAGCCAAAGAAATGAATATAAAAAACACAAAAAAGCTGTAAATTTTTTACAGATTTCAAGAAAACTATACGGAACGAAAAGCGTTTGAAAAATATCTGTAAATTATATTTAAATAGAGGCTAGGTTTATAATAACTTACAGCAATATGTATCATGGAATTACGCGAGTTTTTAGGAGGAGGGGGGGGGAGGTCTAAAAATTACGAAATATCACTTCTATTTATTTTTACCTGATTTTTTCAAAATAAATCAAAATATTTCAAATAAAAAAAAATTATCTGAAAATGCACGTGATGTTTAGTGGGGGCGGTGGTAATCATCAGATATCATCAAGGGGTGGGGGGAGTCTAAAAATCCTTAAAAAAACGATCAAGTGATTAATGGACGCCCACTGTATATTAAAAATCTGATAATATTAGTATTTAGACTTTCATAGAAGCAAATTCAGGAAAAATTAATTACATCGTCAAACGTTTACTACCAGATTCTTAAGCTATGTTGTTAGATTTGCATTAATATTATTGCATGAAAACTGTAATGCGTTTGGTCGATAGCAGTTCCAAAACTTTTCTTTGTTTATTATTTGTTTTTTTAATCACAAATTAGAACTGAGAGTTCTATGAACTACTTCGCTCAAATATTTCCCTTTATGGAAGGCAACCCAACGGTTGTTTTTAGTGATAGTTATGATATATTTTAATTTATTGCATCGTTGTCTGGAATGGCTATTTTCACTTGATACAATATTAGTTGATTTACATTTTCAAGTGAATTGGAAATGACTTCTAGTTGATATCACATGATCGCTTTTGATTCTATAAATTTCAGCAAATTGCAACAATAATATTGTCGTGTACAGAGAGAGTACAACGCAATAATAATATCATTCTTTCTGAAACTATGCGGAAGTAAGAATTTGCATTCTGTACGCATTTTTTCATATAATATTAACCGTCTATTATCTTTGAAATAATATGAACTTCAAGAATTTGCATTCCAAAATAAATAAAAGCTTTCCAACAATTCCTAACTCGTTTGGAACTATTTTTTCTCCTAATATTTCAGGGTACAAAAATAATATTTCATAAACAACTATATCAATACAGACAATTTATATTTAATAGTATGAAAGAATTTAGTATGATTGATAATGAGAGTCATGTATGTAGTATAGTTTGACCTCAACGTAATTGCTTCAATAACAGCCTAATATTCTGATACATGATCGTTCTACATCAGTTCACAAAGTAACAAACCCAAATTCATGTAAAAAATATTTTTTTTATTAAACTTAGAGCGTGTTATTCTTCTAATTAAAAACGAGAGTAAACCAAAATATAAAAAATATGTAAATATTTTTTTTGAATGCGAGAATTTTTAATGAATTGTTTTACTGGAGTTACCTACTTAATGTACAATTTAATTAAACCAATTAGAATTATTTAAAAAAATTATTTTTCTTAGTCATGCACCTCTAATAATATACAGTACGTTAGTTTTTCTTTCTGTTCGAGTCATTAACTAATTATTAGTCGATTCAGACGATGTGATAATTAATTGTAGACGCATGCAAACAGTTGCATAATTGCATAATTGACAGATATATTTGAATGAATATGTTAAAAATTACCTTATATAACAATTCATAGTTTAAAGTATTTGTAGTATTTGTAATTCAAGTATAGCATTAAAACTACAAAAAATATTGACGGAAAATACTTGTATAAATAATCTTGTCAGCTGTAATTTCATATGCACAATCATGATGACTTCTATGGCGTTTCTATGAGATCATCTCTTGAATTAAATTGATGCATTTGATATTGAATTATGTTGGAATAAAAGCGATTGTCTGTGTTGTTTCAATTAGTTTACTTGTAAATATATTTTATTTAAAACATATTGATTAAAAATATATATGAACAAATGGCTTTGAAAAATTAAGAATTTGAAGTTCAATTATCTGGTGTCATAACTTTTAAAAACATGCGTGCTTATATGTAAAGTGTAAATTTTTTTTTTGTTTTTTTTTATTTTTTTATATTCATCTGAACGATTTTAGAAAATTTACCAACCTTGTTCTGTACTGCAATGGTCGTTTGTCTTTATTCAGTTCAATGCCACCGCGACAATCTCTTCTGGATTTCTCTTTTAAAGTTTAAAGCCGTCGATCCACGTTGGTTATCCTCGATTACACACAAAATAAAACGAAACACAAACAGACCGACACTTTTTGTTCCGCTTCCTTTGAACATTAAAAAATCACCGTCACTTTTCTCCATTTTAATAAAAATATTTTCCGAACAGATTCACTTAAATTTTAGTTTTTGTTTATTACTAAACTAAAAGCTCGCAGTGGGCTTTCGAAAGCTCACGCTCTCGCTTGTTGCACAATTCGCGCGCGATGCGTCACCCTCGTTCGAAAATGCGATGTCAACCCTCGAATATTTTGGTATCGTTTTGCGCGCGCACACACTCAAAACACGTTTTTTTGACGTTTTTACGACGTTATTCCTTAACCCGCGTCCGTCGTTCGTCTGCGAGCGCGGCGCTGCCGTAGTTTTCGCTTTTCCACCACACTACGTTTCGGACTTTACGTTTGAGTTCGTCAGAGGAGATCGTCGGTTAACTCTCTTTTCACACATAAATATCGAAGCCGTGCCGATTATTGAAAAAATAGAGTTTAGATGTTACAAATTTAATAACACGTTTGCTGACTGTAAAAGTTCCGGCAAGGTACAAAAACTGACAGTCATTTTATCTTAAATTGATTGTGATATTCGAAATTTGATTAAACACCGTTTGTAACGATAGTCAGATTACGTTTATAGCGATAAATGTTGTAGCATCTACGTCAATTATTTTGCTTCTATTGTACGCAATTTGCTTGCTTAAGCTAAATGTTGACTTTGGGAAAAAATAAAAATAATAAAAATACCTAATGAATCAGTGGCCATTATCATGATAGGTGTAATAATACAAAAACGTAAGATTAGAAGGCGTCCATTAATCACGTGATCGATTTTACCCCTTTGGATTACGTGGTGATATTTAAAATTGCTCTCCCTCCCACCAAACATCAACGTGTATTTTAGTTACAGTTTTTTTTTAAATTACAGTTTTTTTTCAAATGTTTGGATGTTTTGAATAAAAAATAGGAAAAATTAATGCACGTGATATCTTTCTATACCCATTCTTCCCCCACGTAATAATTCGTG